ATATATTTATATATGTATATATATGTGTGTGTGTGTGTGTGTGTTGCGGTGTGTATAAATATGAATTTTATGTAAATATACATTTCTATAAATAGATGAATATACTTGACACATCAGTACATCAGTTATGCATATACAATTATGCTGATTTTATTTACAGGTATATTATATTTGTTCGCAAACACTTTACAGGTATCTTATATTAGTTCGTAAACAAACATATCTGATAGAACAGTTTATCCGAAGACGGATAAACTTGCACGATATCGAATTTATGACACTTGTTACATTTTCAACAGACTGTACTATACGTATACACGTCAGTTCATGGTTTTTTGTATTTGCGCAATGCTGAATAGGATTATTGCCGTAATTCATCTTTGGGAAGGGAACATTCATATTTCCTGTGAGACATGAAATTTAACATCTAGACGTGATTTTTGCATTGGTGGACAGTGATAGAGACTCTCCCGTCAACTGTATTTACATCGTTTTTGCCTTCTGCAAGGCATTTGCCGGAACCTAACCCTATACGAAGTGTCCGACTGTCTATTCGATTGAAGACTGTAAGCATCTAAAACCAAGCCCGATGTCTATGGTTGAAGTTTCTACAGCAAGACCATTCGTACTAACATCCCATAAATGTGTGTTATCAGCTACAAGGGGTCATCCGTACACCCGCAAATTCGGCATCATGAATTTCGACACTGCATCGCCTCCAGCCTCCAGTATTCATCAGGTGTCAAAAGGGTCATCGTTTTCGTGGTCGACAACCATCCAATCAAGCTGTGGAAGAGGCCAGCTCGCACTATGTTGCTTCGCAAATCTGTGTGCCAGTCATACGTCCGACTCGAATATGCGCTGAACACTGCCGTTAACAACCTACTAACAACTATCGAGATATTCAAAATAACATCCTTCTATCTACTACTTGCATACGCCTCGAGCGCCTCGAGAATTCAGGAAACCAGATAAGTATATTGCACGATGTTTTCCTCATGTAGGACTTCCATACTGTATACATGCTTTCCTGTAACTCCCAAGCTTCAAACCATGATAGATCAACGATTCGCATATACTTACTTGGAGTATTGTGCTTATGCAGTTGTCTTGCCCGCATCCTTTTGCGTAAGAGGCCAATGGTAGCACACGTGTTATACACGATATAGCCGTAAACTATATATTAGTTTCCATGGATTCCCGTAACTTACTTCGCACTTGAAGTACTCGGCACAACGTTCCCAGTCATCCACCTTAGCAAACATATACATTATAGCAGCCGTTCACATACATGAACGTATGTATGCACGCTGCTCTCCCGTATACGAATCTATTATTATTTGCAAGCGTCCATAGCCTCTTTCTGTGCGTCCTTCAGGGGGTGCTTTTAATACCCTTGATATTCTCCTTGAGCCCCTGTGCCATAGTCCTCATACCCGTTTTCTTGTCTTGCATAGAAGTATATGCATTGTTAGCCACGCTCCCTGCTCCACTTCCCGTCTCGTCTGCCACAGTTGTTGCCTTCTCCCGTCGGCCACCGTCTTGGTGTATAACGTTGCTCACCGTGTCTTTCGCACCGTGCATAGTGTCTGCAATAGAATCTTTCGTACTTTTGATGGCTGAAGACATGATATAAAAAGACTTTCTGTGTATTTTAAAATGATGATGACAATCAATGACTGACTGTAGTCTCGTATCCGCAACCAAACATATGTGCATAAATATATAAAGATGCCACAAGGCTGGCTATGTGAAGTACGAGAGGAACTGGCATCCTCGAAAAGGCCAAGCAGGTAAGCACGGAAGCCTGAAGATCTGCAGCGGGTAAAACCTCGCTATGTTATGATAGGTCATCGTAATATGTTGAACGTTTTCGTAAAATTAGTATATACGTTAAATATACAGTGAAATGGGTAAAGAATGAAAGTAACCTATTATGAAAAACAATCGAACTATATCACAACATACTTCATATATATCGCACCTCTGAACAATAGTATTGCGCCCTCATCTAAAATATAGGACCACCAAAAGCAACCGTCGAACGTAAAATAAAAACGCCTGGTTTATATGTGAATTTGTGATTTCAAACTTGTCATCAGACGATGAGAAACAATCCTGATTCCTGAAACATTCAATTGACGTGGCCAATAGAAATCAATCATGTCTGGCTTTAAGGGCAAATATCTTATTCTGAGTGGCTATGATTAACAAGTGGCCATCCAAGATGAAGGCATTGGGAATTTTTTTTAAACAAAGCAAAAAGAGTGAATACACGCACATTGTGCATACAAGAAGTTTCACGACTGCTGACGCCTGACGCCTTGTTCTTGACAGTTCCGAGTGTTGGGGCTCGTGACTTGAGAGTTGAGAGTTGAGACTCTTTGAGAGTACTGAGGGGTGGTGATGGACGCTGGACAGGTGGAGTGACTTGACGGTTAAGTGTTGACACAAGTTGACTCTTTCACTTTCTCTTTTTCTCTCTCTCTCTCACTCTCTCTCTCAATACTCTACTAGCTCTAGAGAGTAGGGGTATGTGTGTAGGAGATATCAATTCATGAGATATATTTACTCGGATGGTAGTTCGTAATCGTGGTGCGCGTAGTTTTACGTACATCACGTTCCCACTGTTTTCAGTGTTTTGAGGTATAAATACTGCGCCTTATCGCTTTCATCACTTCATACTCAAAAACAGGAAAGTAATCAAAAACAAACTCCAATATGTCTTCCAACGCCGCCAACTCAAACACCCTGACCGACATGAAGGAGGCAGCCACCAGCGCCATGAACACCGTCAGCGATACCGTCAGCCAAGCCGTGTACGGAGAGAAGTCTACCAGCCAAAAGGCCGCAGACTCTGTTGATCGCGCAGGAGATACGGCAGGTCACAAGGCCGAGAAAGCCAGCAATACCGCCAACAGCGCCATCAATGACATGAAGAACTAAATGAACTGCCATTTGTGAAGAAGTTCAAAGTTCGACTAGCTATATTACCACCTCCACTGAGGCGTTATAGAGTTGTGTGAACAGCCCCTGCCACTTCCGAGTGCGGGCAACAGCTGCATCTGAATTTGACTTGCTCTTAAATACATTGCAACATGCTGTCCACGAGCATTCAATTGTATAGTGATCTAATTAAGCAGAAGAGACGAGTCTACGACATTGATTCTTTTCATCAAGACTACCTTTCGAACTTGGAAATGAGACTTGAAAACAATGCCGATAAATAGTAGTATGGCTAGCAACACTTTTAGAACAAATAAATGAAAGTATTTATCAGCACTGTCTTACTATTTTGTTGCTATGTTGGTTTGGGTGCAGCTCTGAAATAATACGAAATGCTTAACTAGACTTTGCAATGTTAGAGTTGCAATTGGTACCTGGCTTTTGGGTGGTTTTGTCAACCACCAATGTTCATTTGACTCCATATAGCTTTGGTTCCCTGGTGTATTTTCCACAAACATATTGAATCACATGTGTGTATGTAGCGATATACTGAACGGACACAATATCGTGCTGCGTGTGTATATTGTATGTAAGCACGATGCAACAAGTATTAAAGTAAATATATGAAAACCAATTTTAGGTTGTGCCGTGTGGTTGTGTGACTGATATTGCTGTTATGCGAATTTATATAGCACTTACGCGTTGCGATTTTACTGTATTATGATTACTGTATGTGAGTGTACTCATAAAATTTCGTAGTCTTTAGGTACATTTCGAGTACGCAGAACTGCGTGGTATATGAATCCTGAATGAGACTATTTAATTGATATTGTAGGCAGATTAACAAGGAAGTGAGGTGTTCCTTACAGAAGCCTCAAGTTAGGCTAGTGCACTCTATCGAAGCAACCTTTTATTGACGATATGATGTGGTATAATTTGTATTTAGTGACAACTCTTTTCAGGAGACAAATAAAAAGTCATATTTAAAGCTATGTATATTTCATAACCTTCTAAATCAAACATTTTACATTTCTTCCAACAGTTCTTTCACACCATGTGGATTAATAAAAAATTACACGATACATACATATATGTAGTCATATACATACTTACCAACTCCTTGTTTTCGGTATATTTATGTAAATGTCATATTCATTTTATTTATGGGCAGTTCACACTTCAATACTTCTCACTTCTCACTCCTCAGTCTCTCTTTGAGTCTTTTATGACCCAAACAGACATATTTATAATTATGTTAAAAATTGTTTATACATACATACCAGTCGACTGTCGTACAAATCTCGAAACGTGCATTTCTGGACAATCCAATTAGAAACTCGAAAATATTCTTTATTGCCAATAAATTCATAATAAAGTTTCCGTTACTAACGAGAACGACCGATAATTGATCGATGCTGCTGATAGGGAAAACACAGAAAAGTATACATAATTACATATGCAGGGCGAAATTATCCTTATATATATATATATATATATAAAGTACGAATGTACATAGACGTTACAGCCTACAATTCGTATCAAAAGGGTATAGAACTATACCACTGAACTTCTACCACTATGAGAATATCTCAGGGGATGCGTGCAATCACGATATTTTCTGTATTCTTGTGTCTAAGCCATGTCGCCATGGCTGAAACAGGCCGACATGTGTACCACGCAGAGTCAGACGTCGTTAACGAAGCAAAGCCAAACATTAAAATGTCAGTAAAATACTAAGCCAATGTGTTACTACCTCAATTTATATGTGTATGAATGTCTATATACCTTATATATATATATATGTGTGTGTGTGTGTGTGTGTGTGTGTGTGTGTGTGTGTGTGTGTGTGTGTGTGTGTGTGT